CTAGAATTTTGCTCAAGCCTAGAATACACAGGAGATACCCTCAGAATGGCTAATTTACACTACTGAGAAAAAAAATGCAAACCTATTAAAGTGTGTTTTCATTTTTTAGATTGATCAAAAACATGCAGTGAAAGCCCCAAATTTTAAGTGTGCGATTCAGTGAGTTTTAATCAGTGCTTACACGTGTGTAACCCACTCTCTACCATTTTCATCACCTGAGAAATTCCCTTGTGCTCCTTCCTGGTCAGTCCTCTGCCGCTTCCAGAGGCAACCACTTCTCTGATCTTTCTCATCATGGAATATATTTCCCTCTTCTAGAAATTACCTAAATGTAATCACAGCATTTTCTTTCCGTGTGTGTGGCTTGTCTTAGCATAATGTCTGTGAGATTCAACCATGTTGTTGCATGTATCAATAGGTTATTCCTTTTCATCACTGGAAAGCATTGCATTGTGTAAATTTACATCCTTTGTTTATCCATTTCACTTTTTAACTTTTTTGTTGGGGGGAGGTAATCAGGCTTATTTATTTGTTTCTTAATGGAAGTTGTGGCAATTGAACCCAGGACCTCGTGTATGCTATCCATTTCATTTTTAATAGACGTTTGAGTTGGTTCCAGTTTTAGGTAATAGGAATAAAGCTGCTAAGAACATCTTTATTTTAGTGTCTGTGAAGACATACACTTTCCTTCATCTTGGGTAAATACCCAGCAGTGGAATTACCAGGATATAAACCTAGTATGTAAGGAAGATGTGGTCAGCCAGGATCCCTCACAGAGGACCGCTGCCCAGTGATTCAGCAATATTATCCCGCATGCGCAGTACCCCCTGTATTATGTAATGAGGACTTGCGCTGCGCAAGCGCAGTGGTTACCGCACGTAGTTCACGTAGTTCACGTAGTTCACGTAGTTCACGTAGTTCACGTAGTTCACGTAGTTGGCTAGATGCCGGCTCCGTTTGCCTTGCTGTAGAAGGCGGAGGGGACTTGCCGCTGTCACCGCCATTGCAGCCCGGGTCCTCCGCTCGGCAGTGAAGTCTTGTAAGAGATACCTGCAGCTCCCGGAGTGTTCTTCCATCTGCCCGAATCCATGAACTTGCGTGGCCTTGAGCCTCTCGAGTGCTTGCAATACAGGGTAGATGTAATAATTTTATTACATCTTTTATGTAGTTCAATAGCGTTAGCATTTAAGTGTTATTAACTATTCTATATTGAAATCATTGACAGTATTTTTATCTACAATTTGGCTTTAAAAGTTAATTAATGGCATTTACATTATTCTGACAGTTTTTCATGCTGGGGCAAGTAATGACATTCTCTTTCCAAGTCCATTGTCGTCTCTCCCTTCCCTCCTTTTGCATCCTCCCTCTCCCCTCTCTCCCCTTTGGACTGGACGTCTCCACTCATCCTTCAGGCTGCTCACCGTAAGATGCTGCTCCTCTTAGAAGCCCCCGGTGACCTTCCCAGTCTGAATGAGACGACCTCTGAAAGCTCCGTTATTCCCTCCTGTGTCACCCAGCATTGTGAACATTGGCATGTGTGTCCATCTTCTCTTTTCCATTATGAGCGCCTTGAGAACAAGAATTATTTCCCATTTTTCTTTCATACCTATTGCCTAAGCGTGTTTGTCACAGTAGGCCCTCAGCAAATGTTGGTTGAACAAGTAATGAGAAGTTAGGGGATTATTCAAGATCTGTAGTGAGTTAAAGGTAGAACAAGAACTTGTACTGAATTTTGTTTTTAAATTCATTAACTTTCTGGATCATGCATTTTGTTTCAGCTGAAACAAAAGTAAAAGAGATTTTTTTTTTCCACACTTGGTTTAGATAAAGAGAGAAACTAGTAAATCTCTAGAGGCCAGATGTGAGTATCCCAGAGACAAATAGTTGGCACCATCAGTAGTAATATTGGATTCTTGTGCGGGTGGACAGTAGAACCTGTGGGTCCAGGACCTCAGGAAAGTTTATGGAGCCAAGGCAGGTAAAGGGTGAGAGTGGGACCCATGGGGCTGGGGATCTCTGGGAGCACTGGGCCCCTTGGGGCTGTTCTTCCTAATGAAAAAGAGCACTGGCTTCCGTCGCAGCAACAGATACCAGCACAATTTTACCTGCAATCTACATTTTAGGTCACTTGGCCAGATTTTTCAGTAGCCATGGTGACAGGTTGATCTACTATTTCCAGGGCTGGATTATACTCCAAGGGAAAGAGCTGCAAGATACACAGCAGAATTTACAGACATACACGTGAGGACAATACTATCATTGTCAGTCACTGTCGTGCAAAACAAACTTTATGATTGTTTTCTTCCCCAGCCATTTTTCCAAGGGATATCTCTGTCTTCATTTTAAAAGCTGGGACCATATCGTTTTCAGAATTCTTCAGTTTCTGTTGAGATTGAAATGGAATTCTAGCTGTTAAGAGTTGCAGAATGGGACCAAACAAACAAAATGAAACAAAACAAAAAACCCAAATGCTAAAACATGACATCACATCTGATCAGTTCACACTCTCTCATCTAACTTTTATTTGTCATATTGTTTTTAGACTGCAGAAGGATTGATTAAGGCACATTGGTGAGACCATTACGAATAGTAAACCCAGTATTCCTGGGATCAACCCAGGGTGTATTTGTTTTTCCTTAAAACAGCAGCAGCACACAGAGTGTGGACAGATGGCAAGGTTTTTTTTTAAAATTCAGTCTCTCTGCCGTGTTATAAATAACCACATGCCAATAATAAATAACCACAAGTTTTGATTATAGGACTGGTTTTTGTCCTTCCTAAGAGTTAAAAACCTCAATCTTAGCCTTCCATTTGTTTTCTTTTTCCATCTGCCTTTGCCCTTCCCGTTTTCTGATTCAGCCGAGTTTCCTAAGCCATGTTGATTATAAAATGGAATCTGATTTTTATCTCTAGGGCATACTTTGTGATTATAAAATGTTTAAATACATTATATCCAAAGACTTTTAACATAATGTAATCAATCCTCTTTCAATTAGTGATACCAGATAGAGTCACAGAATTACTCCAAAAAAGCAAATTATATTGGTCACCTTCAGCAGCATCACAGATTAATTTGCTGATTAAAAAAAACCAGTTACCACAGACGTATTGATGGAAAAACCTGACCTCTTTGGAGTAGTTTTCAACAGATTTTGCAGACATGAACTATGCTACTTTAAACCCTATAAATATAGTTAGTGATGTGTTTATATTAATAAATACACAATATTAAAATTAGATATTAATTTTACAGATAACTAACAATCCTGTGCTTTCTGAGTACAGATACAAAATTCAGCTCAGAAGTCACCTTTTCATTTCTAAATATAGACACAACTTGACTTAGTTAATCAGGGCTGGTCGATTTTTCCTTCTTTCAGGCCAGCTTAGAAGGGGAGTTATGAGTTAGGAAACACAGAAGGGGCCAGCCTAAAGCAGACCCCAGCTTTGCCTGTGATCAGATTGCCATCCTCACGTTTTAATTGCTGTTGAAATGTTTCCCTTGATTGTTGGTGACTTGCTCCAAATGCCATAAAGAGGATATATTTTATAGGGCCTGGCTTCCATGAAGATCAGTCATGATTTTCCTCAAATTCTGAGGAGTTTTTGTTTGTGCATCATTATAAAAGATGTCTGTCTGAAGACTTTATATGGAGGGGATAGATGTAGACATGAGATCCTGGTCTGAGCTGTTTAGCCACTTGTATGGATGTATTAACAAACACTATCACATGCTCTTCACTTGAGATTAACTGAAAAATTTTCCTGGTATATTCTCTTTCAATAAAGAAGTGATTACATTTGTATTTTTATATAAATGTTTTCTGTACAGATCTTCTAGTATGTATCTCTGAAAAATAACAATAGAGAAACTCAGTTAAAATGAAATGAAAAACTGATTCTTTGAAAAGATAATAAACTTGATAAAACTTTGTCCAGACTGAAGAGGGAAAAAGGGAGAGAAAACACTAATGACCAATATCACAAATGAAAAGGGAACCTCACTACAGATGGAACAAATTAAGTTATATTTCTTACACATTCAGTGAGTCTCTCCTTAACTTTGGGTTTCATCGGCCCCAGCATTTAAAGGATATTAAGAATATATCATGAACAGTGTATGAAACTGACAAATTCCTAAAGGGATGCAAACCACCGAAGTTCACTCAAGAAGAAACAGAGTACATGAATAGCCCTGTATCTATAAAAGTAATGAAGTCTGTGTTTATTTCGCTGGGTCCATCCTAGGTTTATTTGACTCCAAAGCTGCTGTGCTGTGAGGTGGTCAAAGCTGTTTAACAAAAACTCTCCTGCTATTCTGCTTATTCTCCTTAAAATGTTTCTGTGAGCCCGTCTGACCAGTTTTCTATCCCTCTTGACTCTGAGAATAAAGTGTTCCTAGTCACTGATTGCCAGATATATTTGGTTTTGCTCATGCAAGCAGGATAAGTTAATTCTCACATAGGAATAGGATGAATCATAGAACCTCACAGAGGAGCTAAACTTTAATTTGGGTATTAAAGTATAAGGATTAGTATATATGGAGGAAAAGATTTCCCAGGTGGCATTCTTGATGGATTTCCAGAATGGCCTTCATTCTTTGGAAGGTTTCCTGAAATGGAAACTACAGCCTAGAATGCTTCATTTCTATACCTGGAATGCAGTTGGAAGCCAAGATTAAGTAGGGACTCATTAAGTGACAAGAAACACAATTATTGGGGGAAAGGTTTATTTTCCTCTAAGGATACAAACAAGCATTTGGCCAGAGCAGAGTTTTTAAGGAAGATTTTTTTTAGAGTTATCAGGGGATTGAAGAACAGTTTCTGTCAGGGATAAATGACTAACTTGAACTAAAACAAAAGGGAAAATAAGTATTTTATAAGTAATATAAAAGCACAAATAGTGGGATTATCTTGGATAAGAACTAGAATTAGGTTTATTTAAAATTTTTATAAATGAGTGAAAACTTCACATTTACAGATGGTACAATATTTTTCTAGGTGGTAAGATGCCAGATACACTGGGAAAATCTGAAGCAGGATCTCAGAGGCTGAGTTAATGGACAGGAAAGTGGTAAGTGAGTTGCTTTCTGACAAACATAGATCGTCATGTATTTATGTAAAAATAATTCAAACTGTATTTATAAAATTATGAGTTTCAGCATTCAGTCACATTTCTGAAAGGGAATCTAGGACTTACTGTAAACTATTCATATTCTCCTGGTTTTAAAAGGAAAATTAAATAGAAGAGGAGAGAAAAAAAGTATTTGTGTGTGTGCTTGTGAAAATAATGTCATTGGAAATGTTCCTTGAGTTCTAACCAATGTCACCAGGCATCATAAATTGCCTAGAAATGGCGTAGTGTTACATTATACTCAAAATTCCGTTAAATTACAGAAATAAGGAGTCATCATTTCAAGAAATCCAGCAGAATATCTTTGAGTAGATGGAAGTAATGAGGCACAGGTTGTAATTTGTAGTTACATCTGTGAGTATAGAGTCACAGATTTGCTTCTTCTTGATTCCAGTCAGCATGAAATAATTATGTGTTCCAGATTGGAGTGCATTCAAAGTTCTGTTTTTAAAAAGTTCATGCAGATTTCCCACTTTGCTTTAAGAAAAATCTGCTCCTAATGTCATGCTCCCTTCCGGCATTTCATAAATGGGCACCCTAGAGATCAGAATAGCTAATAAGTAAAACAGCTTAAGAATAGCTTCTCACAAATCAAATGGAACAAATGAGAGATCCCCCTAGCAGTAACCAAATGTATGCTTCCCCGAGTCATATCTACACATTGAAGTGTTGAGAGTATCCTATCGACAAATTTAAGTTTGAGTCTCTCTGTGGGCTCTAGTGATGCAGGTTAAGAAATGAAAATGGCTTTACCCGTTCAAGAAGACTCAAGTAGAGTATTAAACAAACAAAGGATATTTAAACCACATTTTCCTCGTGGACTATAATAGCCATAATTTTTCCTTGGGTTAGGTCTCATACACTTCAGTGCAACATTTAAGTGGTGTAATGATCCCTTTTACATTTTTCAGTTTTTTTTTCAACAGCCTGTACATTTATGAATTAATTTAAAAAATGCTTGAAAATCGTCATGGCTGCTTCTTCAGATACGTCCAGGCATAGGTCAGGCAGTGAAAATAGTGAATGTTCGTGGGGTAAGGTAGGGCACAAGGAGATTGAATCATGAAAGCAATTACAGGTGATGAAAGTCTTCCATTTTCCTCCTCAGAATTCTAAGGGGGTCATTATTCAGTTGCCCTACCCTTTACTCCAGATCCCTTCACCCTCACGTACTGAAGAAGTCTGTGTGCCTCATAGTCCAGGAAAGTTCTTGAGGAAAGAGTCTGAGTGGTTTTGGTCTTGTAGGAAACAAAGGCTGAATTTATTAAGTAAAAGAGTACAGAAGTTCCATAGGTCCACACTAAATGCTTAATGGCTTACATCAGGTTGTCTCTAAAGAATCAGAGATTTGACCTTCATACACACTTAGATAAAAATCTGAGTGTCCTTGCCCTGGGCAGAGAGGTGATCTTCAGGATGAAGTAAGTGGTTCATTTTTTTGATTCCACTTTTTTAACTTACATACTTAATTGTCCATGATGCAAGAGCTCAGCAGAGAGCATCAAACTGAGGTACAGTTGAAGATGAGCATCTTTGCATAGGTGACTGTTCCCATGGCTTGGAGTGACAACTGCATGTGAGTCCTGGCTCAGCTATGTGGCAGGAGAGGGTCTGTGAACCAACCTGTCTCCTCGTTCGGAGTCAGTAGTAATAATAGCAAGTGACAACAAGGCCACTCATCTGGTGGTTTTCCATCATGAAGAAGGAAAGTGGTGTGTTTGAAAATACTTTGTAATCTGTAAAGCACCCCACTAATGTTCATTATTGTTGTTGTCCCTTGTATTCGATAACAATGCTTATGCCATTGTTACTTCTTATGCCAGTTTTCAGCTAGCCTATGGATGGATTCTGAATTGTTTAAAGTGGACAATGACTGGTATTTTATCATTGCCCTCTGCTTTCTGTGCACGTGTAGTCCAGAAGCACACAATGCAAAACCCTTGGCAGGTGTCCAGCCATTGTTTCAAGAGCTGGAGCGGGTTTCTCTTTTGCATCCAACAGCACTAATGTCAGCTTAGACTCCCGTGGGACTCTCTATAATCCTGCCTTCAATTGCATCACTTAAGATACACACAAGTGGTTAAGTATTTATTTATCTGGTTTTTGCTTGATCTTCAGAACTTCATAATACATTAAAAAGAATTCTCTGTGACCTTGGACAAGTTACATAATCTTTCTAAGTCTTGTCTTTTTCATTTATAAAGTAAAGGAGGTTAAACCACATATCTTCTGCAGTCTTCTCCAACTTAGAATTTTTTTAATTTTACTTTTTATTGAAATGTAGTTGATTTACAATGTTAGCTCCAACTTAGAATTTTTATGTTGTTACTGTAATGTCTCCCTAAATGGTTAAAAAAAATGCCACCAAATAGAGATGCTATGTGTAACAGGGATTCCCTAGTTTTAAAATGAATTAATATTTTTAGAAACTATTTGGCTGAAGAACTTTCTGTTAAATCAGTGTCCCCCACCAACTTGTTGGCTTCAAGGTGCTTTAAGTGAATTTAACATGAAGAAAGACTAAATTTTGACACCCACAGGCATTATCATCTCTGTTTTATCATGAATATAACATGTCAGAGTTACCACCCTACAAATCAAAAGGGTTATTAACCATCACAGTTCCAAGCACCAAGTAAGCAGAATAACCCTTTGTCTCCATAGTACATCTTTAGATGTGGGCCAGAGCTGTTCAGGCCAAGACCTAGGGTCCTGTCTTCTAGTGTATTCCTTCCTTTGCTAGAGAGACGCCTTCTCAAAGTGAGGGGTCAGAGCCAGAGGGGAAAGTGCAGACCACTGGAGAGCTCAGTGGAGCTGTGCTTTTATCTTTTCCAGCTGCTCTGCCCAGGGTCATTACAATTTCAGATTCTCTCTCCATGGTATCATATTCATAAAACAGAGTTTCAGACAGGTTGATGCCCGCACATACTCTACATAGACACATGTGTATTTACATGTACATAGATGTGCATAAATGTATGACTGTGTGGATTAGTATTTATTTAATCATTAAATACATTATCTTTGCTCTTAAGAAGTCTGTTCTCTTGAAGGATGGAGATAAAAATGTGCAATGGATACAAGTGCTCTGGTAACCTGGGTGTTTCTAAGTAAAGATACACATGTGGGTTATCCAAATATTCTGTAATATAGTCCGTGTGCCAGGACTAGTTTAAGCTCTACACATGTTGACTCAGTTAATCTTCCTCTAGCAACCTTATGAGGTAGGTGCTATTTGATGTATATATAATTATATATATAATATAAATATGTAAGTATTTATGAGGTAGGTACTAGTATATGTTCAATTTATAGGTACTATTACATATTCAAATTATGTAGAGATTAAGGAGTTTGCTCAAGGTCATATGAGCAAGCAAGTGGCAAAGAGGGAGGATTCCACCCAAGCAGTGGGCTCTAGATCCTGGGTGCTTGTCTCCTCCAATCGGCTGCCTCTGTAATAAATGCAGGTTTCCAAGTCCATCTTGGTGAGCAGGTACTCTCGGCATGCCCCTCCCTGCTCCCTCCAGGTTCTTGCTGAGCAGCTGTGCACATGATTAGTGGGCTCATGAGCTTCATGGTCCTACCGGACTCTGCCCTTACTGTCAAAAGCCATTAGTAGGTGGATTTCCTTATGTAGCTCTGAGATGGCAAGTTGCACGCAGGAAGTTGACTGGGAAGAGCTCTGCGGAACACCGGTGAGGGAATGAGGGAACAGGGAAGAGTCAGCATTCATTCAGAGGGGACAGAAGACTTGACCATGATACTGTTGCAACAGAGGCCTTAGCAGATCCCATGTGAATTTCTAGAGCTGAAATGCCCTTCCTGAATCGAGGCATCGGTGCAGGTCCTGTGTACGCCCATCTCCAGTAGTCACTGGATGCAGGCTGCCCCAGGAGAGCAAGGCAGCTCCCTCTGATTGAGAGCAGTTGAAGATGGGGAAGGAGTCAGCTGTGTCAGTCAGTGGGCAGTGCTCCCAGCAGCAGGGGGAATGAGAGGCTCAGCCTACCGGGCATCTCCATCCAGTATAAACTCTCAGAGTCATGGTGAAATGGCACATGTTGAAGGTAGTATTTAAGAAAGGAGGTCCCTGCTCTGCTTCTTTGCAGTGTTTCTCTGCCTTGGAAAGACAGCTAATGTTATGGAGAATGGCAATGTATTCAGTTGGGGTGGTGAGCAGAGATGAGGGAGAGAATGTTCATCTCCCCCTCCCACTTCTTTCCATTGTGTGGCTGGACGGCCAAAGCTCTGGCAAAAAGAGGTCGGGTGGGCTCAAGACTGGTCAGTCTCTCGGGGAGGATATGACTGATGGGCAATCTCTCCCATCCCTTCTCCCTTGAAGAAAATTTCTCGTCCATTTGCTGGAGAATTAAAATGATAAATCCCTCTGGAGGGAAGGTGACTTAATGTAAAATCCATAGTCACGTAAGTTCTATATTTTATCTGAAACGGTGAAACGAGAAAGTAACAAACGTGTCTATAGGCTTCCTCTTTCTCCACAACATAGAATTATTGCCCCCTTCTCTCCCCTTCTCTTCTCTCCCCACCCCCATTGTGTGTGTGTGTGTGTGTGTGTGTGTGTGTGTGTGTGTTTCTCTCCCACCCCCACTGTGTGTGTGTGTGTGTGTGTGTGTGTGTGTGTGTATTTTGGGGAAAACATGAAGATTTGATAATATTTATAGCAATATTTATCATGCATTGAAAGCCACCTAAATGCAGATACTTTATGTATATTATTGCTAAACATCCCAATAGCCCTGCACAGTGAGTACTATTCACACCATTCCGCTGAACGGGGAATTGTGGCGCAGAGAGTTTACGTGAATTGCTGACGAGCCGCAGCCAGAAAGCGATGGAAGCGCTTTGTCCAGATCCTGAATTCACATCGACCCTCTGTGAGAAGGGCTTTGAGGCTCCTTGTGTCTCATTTGGGGTGTCAT